GCTAACAATGATATAAATATAAATATAAATAAATAAATACATTATATATGTGAGTTTGTGTGTGTATAAACAAGATTAATAAATGCTGTAAAAATATTAATAATTAATTCAGTACATTCACTATATATGTTAAGACAACCGTAGTGTAAAGTTTACCTTAAAAAATATAAAATTGGTAAGAATATGCAGTCTTCTGTTAATTGTTAATTCAGTCATTAAAAAACAAAACATCAGCACAAACACCATAGGCTCCAAAAATGCAAAACAATTTAATAATGGACTTCACACAAGGTAACGTTAGTCCATTAATTAAAAAAGTCCATTATTAAATTGTTTTGCATTTTTGGAGCCTATGGTCGGCTGACTTTTTTTTTGGTCAAGCACCCACGACATCGGTATCGATTTAGAAAATTCCAACGTGAACTATTTTTAGCATTTGTCTTCAGCAGGAAACAAACAGTTGCTTTATAGAAAGGTAACGTTAATGCAATTAACACAAAATAATCTACATGGTCTACAAAAACCGTCTACACAAACCAATATATTTTAAACATTTTTATATGATTATAGGCCTATATATTTATATATTATTTATTATTTATGTTGTATTAATGCAAAACAATTTAATAATGGACTTCACACAAGGTAACGTTAGTCCATTAATTAAAAAAGTCCATTATTAAATTGTTTTGCATTTTTGGAGCCTATGGTCTGCTGACTTTTTTTTTGGTCAAGCACCCAATTTTAAGCATTTTTTGCCATTTATGTGCATGCTTTGGTTCTGTCTTTACTTAATTCAGTAATTCACACAGCATAATCAATGACCAATAATCAATCAGCTCTGAAACTGCCCTGCTCTTAATATGAATCCCCTTCATGAAGTCGCATCCCAGAATGCAATCAGTTTGATTGAGGTCAGTGGAATTCAATCTTAACCTAACCTATAATAAATCTGCAAATGTCTTTACACACTAAAAAGCTGATAATGACATTGTGTTAGTATACTCATCTGTTTCTGATACATTAGAAACTAGTTTGTAGCTTCGTCAATCTGTTTATCGATGAGTATCGATGAGACCTGGAAAAGCACATAGGCGGAGGGAGGGAGAGCTGGCTGACTTTCACTGTCCCCTCTCCTGCTGTCTGAATGCGTCAGGTGCCTCTAGCACCTCCACAGATGCTGCCGTCGG